TACTTATATGTATTTGACATTTTTTTTTGTAGCTCAGTTTAATTTGAAGAAATCGTTATGGAGTCTGGTGATGAAGTTTTTTTGCTTACTCATCCATCATCTGGCAAAACATCTCGTAAACAGCGGTCTGATTATAAAATTTAGTTCCCAAAGTTGTCAACCCGATCCTCTGCAAAAACTTTGGTTGAGTCAATTGGTAAATTAAATGATCAACAGAAGGCAGCTGTAGAAAAGATGGGTTTTGGATACTTGCTGCATTTGAAGATTAAGGAGATTCCAAGCAGTTTAGCTTTCTGGGTAGTGGATAGTTCTGACGCGGTTAGCTCTGTCTTGCGTTTTTCAGAGGGGAACATCCATATTGAAACTGTTGATGTGGAGAAGGTCTTAGGCTTCCCAAGAGGTGATAAGCCTATTAAATTAAAGACAAAATCTGAGACTTGTGACTTGTTGGATAATTGGAGGAGTCAGTTTCTATCATCTTTCGAGAGAATCACTCCTGAACACGTGAGTCAAAAAATGTTGCAGTGTAATGATGGTGGTGAAATGTTCTGCTGCAACTTTGCTGCCTTGGTGGATGCTCTTATAATTGGTACTATCAACTCAGCTGGTTATGTCAACCCTCTTTTCTTGAAGTCGGTTACTGACATAACATGTGTTTCCGATTTGAATTGGGCTGACTACACTCTTCAATATTTGATTGCTAAAAAACTGAAATGGGATGATGGCAAATCTTTCAATGGACCTCTTCTCTTCCTTGTGGTAAGAATGTGATTTAATATTATTCTTAATGTAACACCCCTCCTTACTAGTAAATCAGAGTTGCGCATTTATTCGCAAAGTCTGTGAAAACTAAACCATTTTTACTTTGCGAATACTGTTTTGGGGTGCTACCGTGAAATTCTTTACTTATCTTTAGAAAAACCGTTGTTTTAACTTATTAAAACGTCCGGTTATTTAAAGAACTTATTTATCCGGAAAGGTTATCAAAATGCGGTGAAACTGTCAAAACCATCAAGTAACGTCAAAAGACAGTCAAAACGTAAGCGGAAGCGTAAATATTAGTTATACAGTCCAAAAACATGTAAACAAATGTCCTGAAAGTCCCGAGCTGATCCGTTACGTCACACCGCCGGCCCGACCTGCTGACCTGAAAAATAAGATATATCTGGGGCGTGAGCACTAGGCACTGTGCTCCGTGGAAACTCATACTAATGTAATACATTGTAAATAATATCAATATCATGAACTAAGCATATATAACTGAACTGAACTG